GTGTATAATACATATAACACGCAGAGTACAGGTTAATCGACTGTGTTATCGTTGTTGGTAAGGCTTTCAGTCAATAGTAGGCTGTTACTAGTTAAATTTGGGAGGAGTCAGAATTTATATGTGGATTTCTGACTGCACAGGGGTTGGCACTCCTAACCCCCTTGTATGTTCTGTCAAGGCTGAGCCAGAAATCTCTGTGAAATTTTGAATTTTATTTTTCCAGTTTAATGCCTATGATAAGGACTGTCTCACATTAAATAAACAAGCAAGAACCAAGGCAGCCCTGAGAACCGGTCATATCACCGGCCCTTCTTCAGCGCAGTCCACTGACCCTTCCCCACGGAGATGGCCACAGCTCCCTTCGTCTCTCCTCCCCCTTGTGCTGCTCCCACTCGTTCCCTCCCCGTCTCCTCGGAGTGTGTGCTGCAAAGCGTCTGCCTTCTCACAGCTTTGGCCCACTGAAGGCTTCCACGGCCTCTAAGTATCTTTTCACCTTCAACATCAGTTTCTACTACAGGCTTACTAACCAGCCCTCTGCATCTCATGTTGGAATTCTTAAACAGATGATCTAACCGCAACCCCGTCTCTCTCTGGGTGAAATCTGGGGGGCCAAAGCTTTTTTCCTAGTGATGGCAGGGAAAGCAGGTGAAAAGGGGAAGTGGCTTGGTCACTCTGTGAAAAACATGGCCACCCAGGGCTGCTCGTCAGTCAGGGCCATGGTCAGAGTTCTGCCAGAAGGAGCGACGGGTGTGGCCGTCACTGAGATGGACCTGGAGCAGTGATTTATCTACAAACCTCTCCCCCTGCTTCTAAATGTGAGCTTTTGAGGGTAGCAGGCATGTTTTAAGCATTCTTTAATGCCCTGCACATTGCTTGGAACATAGTAGGTTTTCACTATATTTTATTCAACAAATGAATGAATTGATGATGAATGGTATCTTGGCTCCTCAACTAGACTGTTGGGTCCCTTAATTGGATAGATGGATTCTTAAAATTAACAAATCACAAGACTACCTTGGCAATTGTTTTAAGAAATGCTGTTTTTTTTTTAAATACTTGAAGTACTAATAGAAGTGTTTTGTAATGTTGCTTTAATGATTTTAATTAGTACCCATATCAGTTTTTAATCAGTTACATAACAGTTCTGGCGTGACCTGGGATAAGACTTTGTCTTCTCATGCATCTTAGATACTCCCCAATTAGAATTTTTAAAATACTAATTTAGATTGGTTTTCCTCATTTGTTTGAATAGTATTTTACAGCACTTCTCTGGGTAATGAAAACCATTCTGTGCAGACAGTAGGTATGCACTTAATTATCTGTCAGCTTCCCTGTGAGCTAGTGAGTCACTGACCCGGAAGCTGGAGTGGGGCGATGTGCACCACGGAGAACTTACTCGTCGCATGGTAACACAGAGCCTTCTTGCCTGCTACTTCTTCCCACATCTCTGTCATATTTAAAGGGGGAAATTGTTATTTACTTCAGGTTGTATATTCCAATATGTTTTTAAGGGCACAAATTCCTAACCTCAGCCATTCTTGTGTATTAAACATTGCCATAGGAACAATAAAAATTAGTGGTTATAAATAATGCCTTATGAAGTGAAAAATCATCTGCCAATTCTACAGCATTTTAAGATTCAAAACTACTTTTTCTCAGTTTTGCATCATGATTTTCAAGGTGTTTCATTCAAAACATTCTTTTTTTTTTTAAATTGAGGTACGGTCAGTTACAATGTGTCAGTCTCTGGTGTACAGTGCAATGTTCCAGTCATGCATATACATATATACATATTCGTTTCCATGTTTTTGGAATCAAAGCATTCTTAACCAACTGGCCAACTGATGATTCTTACAGATTTTGAAAAGGCAATCAGTAAGTAACACTCTATATTTAATTTTAGAATGTATTTGTTTATCCAAAAAATAACTCCTGTTCATTGTAGGAAATTTTAAAATAATGACAGGCTAAAAAAGAAGTACATTTAACAATTCAGTAAGCCCCCTTCCCTGTGGTTTATTATACTTTCCCAATACCTTTCTAGTAATTATATATGTGGATGCGAGGGTGGTGGAGAGGGAAAGACACAGAGAGAGAGGGAGAGCGAGTGAGGTAGAAGACCCTCTCCCAGTGCATTTTGCCCTGTATCCCATTTTTTTTAACTTAACAATACATAGTGAACATTTTTCAAATATATTTAATATGATATCATTTTTAATGGTTGAATATCACAGACATATTAAATAAATCTACCACATTTAACCAGATCCCTTTTTATTGAACATTTTAATTTTGTCAAATTTTCACTGATACCAAACATAAAACCAAAAAAGAAGGAGAGAGAGAGAAAGGGGTGGGGCAAAGGGAAGGAGCAAGAAGAGAAATTACAACAAGTATCTTGTGACACACATCATTATTTCCTTAGCAAATATCCTATCATTATATTGACGTGCAATTTGTCATTAAAAAGTATGTACTTTTCAGACATTTTGTCAAAGATCAAATTAGAACAGGCCATAGTGCCCTCTCCAACACTGGATAGTCTTTTAAAATAATTATTATCAATTAGATAGATAAAGAAGGCATTTTAGTAATTTGCTTTTTTATTACTGATGAAAAAGAAAAAATATATCTTTATTGACCCTTTTTATTCCTTCTTTTCTGACTTACCTGCAGGAGTCCTTTGCCCATTTTTCTGTTTGGTTATTTATCTTTTTCTTATTGATTTGTAAGACTTCTTAACCTTGTGTCCCTTTTTTTCCCTTCCAGTTTGGTATTTGCTCTTTAACTTTTTTGGTAATTTCTGAAACACTTTTTAGTTTTCTATGTATTTTAAAAGTCAATCTTTGCTTTACATTTCATGAAATATAATTCCCATTTCCAAGATCATGTAAGTATTTTTCTATATTTTCTTTTGGTAATTTTATGGTTTCATTTTTATATTAAAATCTCTAATCTATCAGAATTTAATTTGACACACGGTTTATTTTTTTTCCTACAAACAAGTGGCTCCTTCATTTATTGCATAATTTATATTCTCCTTGCTGATTACGAATGCCACTTCTATTATCTATCTCCTTGGATCTAAGTGACATTGAATTGCAAAGTCAAACTTTAAAGCTGCTTGACAGATCTAACCATTTTCCCTCGCAGTAGGCAACTGTGTGGAGGTTGAAGAGATGTCAGTCCAGATGCCAGAAAAAATACTGAATAAATCTCTGGCTTTTTTTTTTTTTAAATCAAGACCGTTATAAATATTTTACAACAGTGTCATTGTTAATGTAGACTTGTGTGCTTAGATATTCTAAATGTTTTATCACTATGTATCTGGGCTGTAATGACATATATTTTATGATCATATTTTGCTCAACAAGCCAATAGTCTTAATGTAGTATGTGTGATATATGCATAAATGTATGTATTTCCATCATTATTCTGAAGCTAAATATTATCTGTGAAATTATGAAATGCTCAAAAATTTCATATACATGAGTTAACTTCCTATAACCAGTACATAAATCTTCAAGTTAAACATGTTGGTTCATGTTTTTCCAATAGAATCAACACAATTCCAGCACAGAAACTGAAATCAACTGTATTGTCCTTTAAAGTGAAGCTGCAAACATAGCGAGAAGCATCTGTGTAAAAGACAGATTTATCTTTGCGCTTCACACGTCCTTTTCACCTAAAAACAAGGAACAAAAAAGTACGTATTTCTAATCTAAGTAATAACTCTACTTTTAGTTTTAGTGACGGCGACAGGTTTGATGGTGAACACTGTAGACTAGGGTTTACTTGGGAACAGTGGCTTCTCAACCATTTTGCCTATAATTCAGCCACAAATTAAGCCCCTTACCATTAGGTGCTCCTGAAAATATCATAATTGGTCAGTTAATCCATTTCCTATTCATTGTGACGAATGTTGGCCTGAACCCTGACAACGATTTAGGTCAAGTTCCATAACATAAATGTAATTCCCACAATTAAGGGTAAATCTGCAGAATTTTATGTTAGATTGCTCCAAGGATTGACATTTATGTGTATATTTCTTCCCCTACATACTTTTCTAAGACATTTTTAGAGATATTTTGGTACATTTGATAAATGTTAAAAAAACACACACATGCTATTAAAAACCAAGATTAAATCTTGTGTGTGAGCCCGACTGAAAAAAGAGCCGCATGGTTGTCACCAAGCAAGTGGTCTGTGAACTCCTGGGGCAGAATCTCTAAAGCCCGTTCTTTTCCCAGTGCTCGTTTCTGGTGAAGAAAACAAGGCAGGAGGCGAGGGAATTTAGCCTGAAAAAGGCTTATTCCCCCCACCCCCTGGGAGATACATTTGGTTTTCTCTCTTGGCTCATAATACAAAGTATGGCTGCTCTCCAAATCAGGAGAATAGTTTTTTTTTTTTAATGTTTCTCACTTCCTTCTCTTTAATCTTCTTCTACAGTGTATAGAGACTATCTCCCACGCCATCTCCACAAGTTTCTCAGACATCATTCTTCGTTTCACCTGCTCTGACTTTCTGTTCTATACCAAGAATCCCTTGGTCAGTTCCCCCCCGCCTCTCCTGTTAAACGCAGACTTCTGTGCTAGAAAGCCAGGCAGCACGCCTCCTCCTGGGCGAGCTCCTCGTTTCACTCCTGCTCCTTGTCTTGCTCCCTTTGCTCTTGATTGTTCCAGGCTCGTTTTCTTTCCCCATCAGTCCTCTTCTGCTCACAGTCATCATCATGTTCCCATATGTCAGACGTGTGTTCATAATTCAAGGCGAGGGAGGCAATTGTGTGGACCACACATTGCCATTTTCATTTTATGGCTTAGTTCAGATACTTTTTTTTTTATGAGGGGGAGGTAATTAGGCTTATTCATTTATTTATGTTTGGAGGAGGTGCTGGGGATTGAACCCAGGGCCTTGGGCCTGCTAAGCACACACTCTACCACTTGAGCTGTACCCTCCCCACCAGATACTTTTAATTGGAACACCCATGAGCACAGGAATTGTGTCCCTCTTGTGCACCCCTGCACATGCAGTGTCCACCACAGAATGCTCAGTACATTTTTATTGAATTAATAATAACAGCCACCATTTAATACATTGACTTACCAAATGATAGGTATCATGCTAGGCACAAAGGGTATGTCCATTTTATAGATGAAAAAACTGAAACTTAGAAAAATTAAATCAGTTGTTCTTGGTTGCAAGGCTAAAGTTGAAGAGCCAAAGCAGGACTTAACCCCAGGCGTGGAAGGCCAAGCGCCCACACTAACAGTGCAGAGGCAAGGTAACACAGCTGTGTAGAAGGGCTGTTCTGGAGCCAGACAGCATGGCTTTAAATCTTGACCCTGTCACTTAAGAGTTAACAAACTCTGTGCTTCAGTTTCATTATCCCTAAAACAAAGACCATTTATGGAACAAGCATTAGTCGGTTCCCAGTCATTCCCCCTCAGAGTCGTTCTCCAATCCACTGCTTTGCCTTTGTTTAGTTTCCCACAGTTGGCGCTGAAGATGACCAAAGGCTTAGACTTCTAGACGTGAAGGCTGAAATTACCCTGGTAGGCAAAGCTCTCAGTCAGCTAGGACGCTGGCGCCCAGCAAGGGAGCTTGGAACGGTCATCATACACACCAGCTGTGGCTGCAGCAGTAGCAGGAAGGAGGGGTCTGCAGAGACACTGCTGGAATGTCTGCACACTGAAAAATTACCCTACCTTTTCCCCCTTTAAAAAAGCTATCGCTGTTTTCTACTTCCTCCTTTCTTTCTGTAGCAACCATTGACACCCCTGGCCCCCAAAATTTTATAGAGTGTACTAGTAGTAATTACACTTACCATCTAGTCCTTGGATTGCAAGACCAAGAGGAACCACACCTAGAGACTGTCCCAGCACTAGAACAATGGGCACTTTCCATCCAGGGGCCAGGCCCAAGAGGGCAATAGCCCTAAGAGGTCCCTTCCACCAGCTGGATGTGCCTTTGGGCTGGGAAGAGGGCAGAAGCAGGGCCTCTGGTACTAGAATGGCTGGATCAAATACGCTGGAGGCATTTTTGTCATTGTACATGTGGGGAAAGGCAACTAAACAATAAGATACCTCTTAGGCCGGACACACCGCTCACAGTGACCTCTCCCTCCCCAGCGTAGGGGTGGAACATCGGCAAACAGCCACACATGTAACTTGTAACCTAGTCACGGCTGAGTGACCCGGGGCTAGAAATCTGATCCAGACTGGCCAGACTTGCTCCCTGGGAAGCTGGAATTTTGAACAGGGATGCTTAGAGATGGGG